GGAATATTTTAAACCACAGATTATGATATAAGTGTACAAACATTGTAAACATAATCTATAAAGTAAACATAACCCTAACTTATTAATAAAGAAAGTCAAAACCATAGATTATGATAATTAAAATAAAGAAAGTCAAAACCCTAACTTATTTAAATAAATTAATCAACCACAATAATATACTAATTWGGGTCCACATTAGTTCACAAATCAAGAAAAAGTAGGCAAATAGATGAGGTATAAAGGTAAACCAATAATTTAACAAGAAGGTGATCTAACTTCTAAGAGAACTAACACTTACAATAACACACCAGGGAGAGTTCGAGAGGGAGAGGCCGAGAGGGAAGGCCGAGAGGGAGAGGCCGAAAGGGAGAGGCCGAGAGGGAGAGCCGAGAGGGAGAGGCCGTGGGACTGTCGCCGTTGTCACCGTCGGACTGTCACCACTCACCGTCGCCGACGGCCTGTCGAAAAGGAGAGAGGAGAGCAGCAGGCAGCAGCGTCGTGGTGGAGAGGAGAGCAGYAGGYAGCAGCGTCGTGGTGGAGAGGAGAGCAGCAGGCAGCGTGACTGGTGCGTGTCGTCACTGTCGTGCGTGGAGCCGTGGATATGGAGGTCTTGGAGGGAAAATAAAAGTGTGGTGTGGATTGGGCTGAGGAAGGAAGGAAGGGAAAATAAAAGTCGTGGAGAGGGATGCATTCATAACATATTTTACAATAAAAGCCCAAAGTCAGAAGCCCAAATTCCTATAAAACACATATATATAAATAACGGGTACGGGGCGGGGCGGGGAGTGCTATACCCGTCCCCGTCCCCATCCCCGGATTGCGCCAAGCGGGGATCCCCGTCCCCGTCCCCGGGACCCGATTTTTCGGGGATTCCCCGTCCCCGATCGGGGCGGATGGACCGGGTTACCCGACGGGTCGGGGTCCATTACCATCCCTACGCAGACATATTTTTACGGACTTATAACTAATTTACATATTTGGTCCCTGCAATTGCGAACATATTTTACATTTTGACACCTTCGCAACATGCATGGACCAAATATGTAAATTTGAAAAAATACATTAACGAACATATAACTAATTTACATATTTGGTCCCAATAATTATGGACATATTCTATACTTTGGCACCTCCGCAAATTGCAGACCTTCCAATTGCTGACTCATGGCTATATTCATTATATTGAGAGATAAATGGCTAAAAGGTGAAATTGACCGTGAAAAATGATTATTTTAATTAATTTCTCTAATATTCAGAATAAAATAAAAGTAATTAATATAATTAGTAATAATTCAAAATAAATAATACTAATTAATAATAAATAATAACTAGGGACAAAATTGGAAGAAATAAGAAAAAAAAACTTTTAGAGTTTATTGAAATGTTAACGTTTTAATAAGCTAATAAGCCAAACAAAGTTTTTTAAATAAACCCAAAAATAAGCTAACTTGTCTTTATATTAGTCAAACATGACTAATGATGTTATTCAGTAGTAAAATCAATTTTGGGTCCGTTTGGTTCGGGTTAATCGATTTTCAACTCTTTTTTGAACTAATTGATAACCAGATAAAATAAGACTTGATTTAATTTGTTTCTAGATTATTCAGTTTGATAACTGGTTAAACCAAATAAGAATTCTTATATATATATATATATATACTATATTATAAAGCATTTGACAAAAACTCTTAAAAATCATTTTTATGCATGAAGTACTGTTTATTAATGCATATTACTTAAATTTTGAAATTACAAGTAAATTGTGCGTAAGAACAACTTATTAAAGCTTCATGTTTGAATTCGTGTAACTAACTGCAGATAAACATAATCAAATACAGGATAAACATTTCATTTTAAATATAAAGTATAATTAGGATAATCATTGAGTTCTAACAGAATACTTAATTATCATCCTTATAAAAATTATATTATTAAATCAAAAATAAATTACTTCGTTATTAAATCTAAATTAAATTATAATAAACAATTTGAATTAAAAAAAATTACACAAAAAACAAGAACTTTTAAATAGTTAATTTGATATCACTATTGATATATTTATTTTCGAAATTTTATGATATCTCCAAATTTATATTTTTATTAAAAGAATAAAACATTACCCCTTTCTCAAAACCACATAAAAACCGTACTAAAGATCTACATAAACGGAATAAAACAAAACATTAAAATCAAGATATATCTCGCTGCATTGCGCGAGTCCCCTTCTAGTTTTTCATTGGACATTTACTCCATTAATTTTCCCAAATTCAATACACATTGCTTCTAATATATAATTATATCATACGATCATACTCAACAACTGACTTTTATTAAGTAAAAGATGTCATCTACCAAAAAAACCAGTAATTGTTTAACAACCATTATTTCTTTATATGACAAATTACAGCAAACAAAAGACATAATCTAATAAAAAACATCATCAAGTATTAAACAAAAAATATTATATAATAATAAAATATATAAAAATAATAATTAGTATAATATTTTTTTTTTTTATAGAAATGAAATATAAAAATACTTGAAAGATGTTTTATTTGTGTTTGAGATTGTTTATTTAAAATAATTTATATTTTTGTACTAAAGTCTTTATTAATTTATTATAAGTTAAAATCATTTAACTTCTTTAAAAACTTCTTATTATCGGTTTAACATTGGTATAAACTATTTATCCAAATACTCAAAAATACTTATTATCAATATTATATCAAAATAAATCAATAAATTATTTTTATATGCAATCCCAAACACCACTAATACTTAATTTTAAAGAAAATGTTAAATAAAACCTAACCGACTAAGAAACCTAAATTGTTACCGTTTAACCTTATTTTGACACCGTGTGTGTGTGTGTGTGTGTTTTAAGTTAACGGAGATGGGGAAGGGAAGGTTGAATCGCCGTTACTTTTTTAATCTATTCTTGCCCTACTCATCGCTGTTGTATGCTCTCTATCTGCCGACTCCGAATCAAGCCGATTTCTGTTTGTTTCGTACCTTCTTCCCACTTTCAAACCCTAATTTTCCCCTGCCACAACAATCCTTATCGTCTCCATCAGGTAACGTCGTCTTTGCTTCTAATTTATATCTTCCCCTGATTTCTTGTTTTTATTATCCCAAACGTATGTTGATCTCACTCCACATGCTTATCTAATCTTTGTTTGCTCAATCATCAAATTGATTTCGGTTTCTTATAGACACTCAACGCTTTCGATTGTTTGTTTTCCACCTCATATCAAAGTGTTCGTATCACATCTATCCTTTATGGTTGGGGTTTGAATTGGATTTCCAGATTTAATAATACGGAAGGAATGATTTTCTTAATGTATTTTTTTGGTAATTTAGACGAAGAGTAACATGTGATTATGTGAAACAGACAACGATTTTGTGAATTGATTCTGCTGCTGGGTTCCTTTTTCTGAAGAAAATAATTTTGTTACGAAATTCAAGTTGTTGAATTGGAAAAAAACAGTTGATTGATCAATGCGTCCTGTTCTTGCAGAATTGAGCTGTATAGTGTGAAATGGCATCTGTCTCCAGCCAGCCTCAGTTCCGATACACACAGACGCCATCCAAGGTTCTCCATTTGAGGAATTTGCCTTGGGAGTGCACCGAAGAGGAACTAATTGAACTTGGAAAACCGTTTGGTAAAGTTGTGAACACAAAGTGTAATGTTGGAGCAAACAGAAATCAAGCCTTTATTGAATTTGTAAGTGCTAATGGACAATTTCAATCAGTTACTGGTATATCATTATGATTTTCTGAGTCCCTCTAATTCCTGTTGACTCATTGTTTCATCTGTATACGGTTTATAGGCTGAACAAAATCAAGCAATTGCAATGATATCATATTATGCTTCATCATCGGAACCAGCTCAGGTACGAGGGAAAACTGTCTACCTACAATATTCGAACAGGCAAGAAATTGTGAACAACAAAACCTCTGCAGATGTTGCTGGAAATGTACTTTTGGTAACCATTGAGGGCAATGATGCTCGCCTTGTCAGCATTGATGTCTTACACCTGGTAAGTAATTACATTTCATGTACCACATGATTTGAGGAGGTAAGCTATCAGTAGATAGATGTTGCCAATAGCATTTGGTTGGTAGGTTGTAGCACATGCTTGTTAAGCTTCATTGTTTGACGTCAAATGTAAATGGATCAGCAGGCCCATATCAAGGATTTATCTTCGATGGCAGCTTATTGCTTGGGGAGAAAGAGCGCATGTGTGTTTGTCTCCTTTCTCCTTCCCCTTCCTTAACACTCGCTCTTTCTTCCTCCTCATCTCTTCCTATCCCTACAATTATAAGAGTTTAGGATAGTTTATTCTGTTTTTCAGATTTTCCCTATCTCTTTCTCTCTTTCTTTTTTCTGCATGGTCTGTGCTGAGTGCATGTGGCATAGTTATTCATGATGTTATGTTAAATGTCTAATGTGGTTGTTTGACTGTTCTGGCTGAAATAACAGTCAAGGAAAAGATGCCATTATCAGTTTCCCCTAACTACCAGACTTTTGGTATTGTTAATATAGATTGAGGGGTGCCTATAATCACTTGCTCTTTCTTAGCCTTGCTGGGGCAAGAAACATTCTGGCTTTGAGATAACGGAAAGCTGAAACGAGCAGGCTTTAAGATCAGTAAGTAACCATACGTATACATCGGATGGCTAAAATTTACATAGCAATTCCTAGAGCTACCTTGAGAGGGATTGCGACCAAATTTTAGCTGTCATGAGTTCTTTTTAGGGTGAATTGACAGGATGTTTATAACCTTCTGCCTCTTCCCTTGAGTATGCTTTTCAGTTTTAAAGTTTGGGGTGGGGATTTGGGAAGATTGTGTGAAGTTGAACAACTCTCTCTCTAGATTAATCCCCAGGATGTGTGTACTGGGGTCTGGGGGGACTGATAATATTCAAGTCAGAATCAAGTATTATGAGAATGCTCCCTTACTAAAATCTACCTTCCCCAAAACTCACAAGCTAAGTAGCAGCTTTGTATATTTCAAATCACATTTCATCTTTGATATTGTTGATCTGAAGTGATGTTAAAAACATGAATTACCGCTAATATGCTTAGGGTGATTTTGGTGTTCTTTTTCCATATCTTCCATTCATTTAATTGTGGAGATGAAAATTGATAAAAGCTTGATTTGTATTCAGCTGCATCTTCTTGTGTATCTTGACTTGGATAAGGTGTGTTTTTTGAATTTTGACTTCAGCCGTTAGCCCGTTATTTACTTTCTCAGTTTACGTTGTTAATAATTAGGAATGAACTACGGAAATACATTTTTGATTTTGGCCAATTGATGGGAACTTTATCATAAGTATTTGTGGAGAAGTCTGTTTGAAATTGCTTTAGGCAACATATACAAAAATCAAACACTGGAAATCTAATCTTCAGTTCTTGCTCTTATAATGCGAAGCTACTCATTACTTTGTATATGCATTCCTCACTAAGATCTACCGTCCACCTTAAATATACAGTCAGAATGGGGTGTTCTGACCACATATGCATGTATGTTCTGTAACCACACTTTGCTGCTGAAATAGTGTAATGATTCATGGTCTAGACGTGTTTTAATGTATAATTCTTGCTGGTACTGCTTTTACTTTTGTGTTAAAATCTTGGGCAATCAATTCTGTGCTGACAGAAGTTAATTGAAACTATTGATCAGTCACCTTCAATGTAATTTGGAGATCTTCGTAAAAATGAAGATCAGTTTTGCTCCATATGCTTTTTTAATGTTATTCAGAATATTTTTGTAAGCTGCATGACTACTTTTATTTTTTGCACATAATGTTACGTTTTGTTTGTAGACAAAGATGATCTGGTTATATATGAATTCTTTTGTATTTTGTCTAATGTGAGTTGTTATTTGGCAGCATATGTGGTATTGGGAGGATAATAGATAAATTTTTTGCCACGTATTGTATAATTTTGTTATGTAGTTTTTTGCTCCATGGTTTCTGAAAATCGGCTCTGTAGGTGTTCTCTGCGTTTGGGTTTGTGCATAAAATCACAACTTTTGAGAAGACAGCTGGCTTTCAGGTGCGTGAAATTGTGTGAAATATTATTTTGTTGGATTTCTTTTACATGACAGCGTTGGGAAGTGGATTGATAATATATTTGTCTTTCAGGCTCTGGTGCAGTTTACTGATTCAGAAACTGCTACTTCCGCAAAGGATGCCCTTGATGGAAGGAGCATTCCCAGGTGATTGAATGTAACTCTTGGATATTTTTGTGGTGTTTTACATGTACAGTTGTACACATGTCAGCGACACATTGTACAGAACATGACACACAACCATCGGACTGTAGTTCCTTGAACTAAATGAGATCCATATACAGAGCAATATAGGAGCAGTTAATCAACAATGTAGCTCATGGTTTTTTTGGTTTGCATGTTATCTACTCTGATGCCCTTTTTAAAGTTCATACCGACTTTTATGTGACTTGCAGGTATTTGATTCCAGAGCTGGGAGCATGTTCTCTTAAGATAACTTATTCTGCTCATACAGATTTGAGTGTGAAATTCCAGAGTCATCGTAGCAGGTGAAACAATGCTCACAGCTTGTGGCAAATTTCTTGTAGTTTTCGTTTGGTTCTTATTTATTAAGATGAAGGAATCATTTTTTCTAATTCAAATTCTTTCGTCTTTAGCTCCTAGGATTGCTTCTTTTATGCACATTCTGTTGCTAACTTAATATGCTTTCTATTGGTTCAGGGACTACACCAACCCTATGCTTCCGGTTGCATCATCAGCAATAGATGCTACTGGTCAGGTGAGCCTGTAACTGGTTATTTGATTGTGGGGTGTCTAATGAGCTTGATGATTCATTTCGTCATAGCACTGATGTGTGTAAGGAAAACATTACCTGGTTTTGTTATGTTAAAATAGTAGTTTTTTTGTTTTTGTTTTATCTCATCTAAAATATATTAGCTTGTTACTTTTGCAGTTCAATTTGGGTTTAGATGGGAAGAAGATTGAATCTGAGAGTAATGTTCTTCTTGCTTCTATTGAGAACATGCAATATGCGGTCACCTTGGATGTGTTACACATGGTATCTTGAGTGCTATGAATATTTGTTTCTGGTCCATATGTCATTACGTGCAGCGTTTTCAATTTATTGAGTTTTGTAATCAGGTCTTTTCTGCTTTTGGGCCTGTTTTGAAGATTGCCATGTTTGACAAAAATGGAGGAGTCCAAGCCTTAATTCAATATCCTGGTGAGTTAATTGATCCATAAACATCTCTAACATCACTTTGTTATAATAAGTTGTTGAACGTGAAATATTGGCTGAAATAGCTGGTGTACAGAGAATTGGTCATGAGACTTGTCTACACAATATATAATTGGTGCAACTAATTTTTTTTTTTCAGATGTTCAGACGGCCGTTGTTGCCAAGGAAGCCTTGGAAGGACACTGCATATATGATGGAGGGTTTTGCAAGCTTCACATATCTTATTCTCGCCACACGGATCTAAGTATTAAGGTAAAACATAAGATGCTCGTCATTTTATGCCATTTATCCTATCCAACTAGTTCATTTGGCAAGTGCAAATATTCTCACGGTTCTCAAAATATTTACAATTTCTAAATTTCCCCTTGTTCTCCTTTCCCATTATCTGTTTTATGGGCCCCACCCTCAATCAAATGCAACCTACAATCAAATTATCTGATAGCTTGATACTGTCGGTCTGTGAGTTGTAGTTCCAATTTATGTAGAGAGTAAAACAATGACGGGGGTTAATCTGTTATTTCTTTAACTGAAATGAATTTTAGGTGAATAATGATCGGAGTAGAGATTATACAATGCCGGCTGGGCAGATAATGAACCCACAACCGTCGATCTTGGGGCAACAACCACCATCAGCGGCACCCCAATACAATGGCGGGCAGTACATTCCTGCTCCAGAAGGTTATGCAGCTCCTCAGTCTTCAGGGGGATGGGCTCCAGGTGCTCCAGCAGGGCATCCAATGCAAATGCAGATGCAGATGCAGATGCATAATCACCCTTACATGCCACAGCAAGGGATGCCCTCCGAAATGGGTCCTGGGCCAACCCACTTTGGTGGGCAGAATGGATTTCCACAAGGGGGAGGACCACCGCGTTACCATCCTCAATAGGATCCCCTTTCTCTTGGCCTTTTTCTTTGTTATTTTGTGCTGTCCAGATTGGTATGTTATTTTTATTAGCAAAATCAGGGTGCGACTGGTATCAGAACCTGTGTGGACCTGGAAATTTGTTGGAAACTGACCTGGTGATAGACTGTATATCATCTCATTTACCGGTTATAGTACCATGTGCAAAATCAGTCTAACAGGGAAAAAAAAAAGAAGAAAAAAACCCATTGGAAAACCCACAGGATTTTGTTTCTGTTGGTTTTCTAGTAAAAACTAATGGTTTATGTTTAATCTTTTAGGAAAAGTAATTTAGTTAATTTCAAAGATTTGTGGAGGCCATAATATTAGGTTTTTTGACCAAAATGCATAACAAAGTGACAACTACATGACTACAAGTGTAATTGTCTAAGAAGCCACTCTTAAAAGATCAAGCAACTGATGAGAAAGAGCCTACTCAGAACGACTCTGACAAGTTTTGCATTAACATTTTAGTTTCAAAACCATATGGGGACATCCGACAACTTATGACACCTTTTAGAAACGTAATCTTTTTTGTTGTTTTTTTCTAATAACGGAACCATAAAGAGATGACTCATGCCACCGTATCTCAGATGTAAGGTCTGGCTTGATAGGTTGGGTGACTACCAACTGGATTGGTTGATCTGTTCTGCATGTGCTGATTGCTTGACATGTCAATAATTTTTGTAGATGTGGCATAAATATGTATAAGAAATCATAGTTGGAATTATTGTTTGAATACCATTTAAATTATCTAAGTTCTTTCGAACATAAAATAAGAAGTAAAAAATATCAATGTATTTAGTGTATGAAAAAGTAGCAAAATATTTATCCACCTAATATCTCAAGATCGAGATTGGAGAAGTACTATATAACATATCATATATTATATATATTCGGGTGACGATTGGTACTCTATAGAGATAGTCGAGCCAAAAGCCATTTCTAAACCCTTTTAATAAAAAACAGTAAATTATGAATAATATATAAAACTAAATAACTATAATAATATAATGGGTCGAGTGGGCTTGTACGAAACCTTTTTTTCATTGACCAAGCCCGTCCATTAATTTTAGCGGTCCAGTCCGAGCCTGATGTTCCAGAAATTAATCAATCAACACAATTATCAATAACTCAAACAAGATCAACAATGACAGATTATGTAAGAGTAGAGAAAGAAAGTTTTTCAAAGGTTTTTGTATTAAACTTCAAAGATTACAAAGCTTCAAAATGAAATGTTACAAATGAAGTACCCTAAATTAAAAACTAAACTATTTATAGTAAGGAAAATTATAAAGGAAAATACCAAGCTTGAATATAATTTTGAAGCACAAAGAATAGAACCCAACATTCTTTCCCTTTAGATTCAAGCTCTAGAAATTGAAAATCTTGAACGTCTAAATCCCAGATGCATCTCAAACCTTCTAATAGCATTCATGTACCCAATCTTCTCATCAAACAACTCCATAACTTAACATAATAAGAACCTTTCTCTCAAATTCATCTTGTTAGACCCTGACGCCTTATCATCTTGAGCTTTCTTTAACTCAAGTTGCTTCCTGATAATCTTGATTGTTCCATCACTGTACTTTTTGAGTTCACCGAACCTCAGAAATGTTTTGGCACCCTCAGATTTTTCATAGATAACACTTAACTCTGGATCTTCAAGAATCATATATAGAGGATAATCATCAACGTCTTCTAAATCTTGATTCGACTTCTTCATATTGACATGCTTTTGATTACTTTCATATCCCATCTGAACATTTATAACAGAAGACAGTTTGCTCTGACACTTGAGAAACTTTTGATGGCTTCTAATCCCCTGACGATCCCTTCCAATTTGACAGTTTGGTTTCGGAAATCATGATACATATACTCCAAGTCTTCCAAGTATAGATTTGGAAAATCAGCTTCACTGAAGTACCATTCTCTACCATCTTGCCTTGTGACGTAGAAGACTGAATACCAAACTCTTATAAGTTTTCTAGTTTCCACCTTCTTTATCGAGACAATCCGATGCTTTGTTTGCACAAATTGAATGGGTTGGCGTTTGGCTTTCAGGAAGTACTTATACTCTTTTCTGTATTTAATGGTTTCTTTTCTAATACCCAAAACTTTATCAGCACTTAAAGCTTTCAAATGATGAACAAATATGTCGGTATACATGTCTTCAAGACAAGGTTCTCTTACTCTAGCTCTGTCCCACCCTGGAGTTGACAGCTTCTTAGCGATAGGCACATACCTTCTTGAAGATTGAACATTTGTAGTGTGAGGTACAGAAGATGTACTAGGAGCACTTGGTGGTTCAACAAAGAATGGTTCAGGTTCTCCTTTCAGCTCGACCGGAAATGGAAAGCTTGTTCGAGCATCATCTATGTCTGCTTCAAAGTCAAATAACAACTCATTTGAATCATCAGCTTCTCCTTCCGATTCAACACTGAAATCCTGACCTCCACCTGTCATACCCCGCTAAAGCGGAAACACGAGATGTAACAGGCAAGCGAGTCATAGCAACAGTTAATAATAAATAACACCATTCCAAGTTGTGCAAAACAAAACAAGTTTATCGACATAACCGAAATTAGAATGAATACAACTTTTCTCAAAATACTTCAATTTCGGACTTAATCGATCTTGTCACGAGTATGCTCCCAAAAATCCAACCAACCTTACTTAAATCCTGAAAAGCATGAAAATAAAACAAGGTCAACTACAAAGAGTTGGTGAGTTCACGGGTTTTCATATGCACAAATCATTTCAATGCATAAATCAAATAATTGCAAACTTATGCGAATTCTTTGCACTTAATAAATGTAAATCTTTAACGATGTAAAACTTGAGGCGCTACTGAGCCTTACCTGACCAACTTGCCCCATTAATTTACGAACAACCATAGGTAGCCCGTACACTACTTAGGTCCCACAGTTCGTAGAAGTACTAATTTAGCGGTGGTCCAAAGTCCACATGATTAGACAAGAAACATAGGTAATTTGCACCCCTTTCTGGGTGGGACTGTCAACACAATAGCGGCTATCCACAATACCACGGCCCGGGGATGTACCCGAGTTAACAAGTAGCGTTTACGGACGGGGACTTTTATTTGGAAAAATATACTCCCAAGCACATCAATTTAGCATTTATTCCAAGTGCAATAACAATTAACAAAAAAAAAAATAACTTAGAAAACCCGACTAAGCAGTTCTTTAGTCCAGAGGTTTCAAGCAAAACTTGACTAAGCAGTTCCTTAGTCCGAAGCATCGACTAAACAGTTCTTTAGTCCCAAAGTTTCACATAAAATAAACATGCATAGTTTGCTCAATCTCATGCTTTTCCCCCATAAAATAAACAAAAGCAGTAAAAGTGGGGCCGTAAGAACTCACTAGTTGAAGATGAATATCCAGAGGTTGCCCTTAGAAGCTTTCAAAGCTCGCCCGACCTTCCTAAACAGTCCAACAACCAGCACTTAATTTACTTAAAAGTTTCTTGCCCAAGATAAAGCAAAGTTGCTTTCAATGCAATGCCATCAAGGTTTTTTTTTTTATAAAATAAAGCCGATATTTTATTATTTATTTTTAAAAGGAACCTTCCAAAAATCCACCTTATGACATCATTTTACAACACCCAAAACAATGATGACAGCCGCCAATTTCTAAGATCAAGAGTTTTTGAGTGGGTTTGAGACTCTTCTTAAATACTCTATAACCTTGAGTCACACGCCCCCAAAATAGATTRCATGCACCAAGAATGACAGCAATGATGGGGAGGGGTCTCAAGCTCATCATTTTCAAGAATCTAAACTCTAGCTTGAGTCATCATCTTCGAACAAACTCCAGAAAAATATTTTCCGATTCCATCGAGTTTTAAAGATAATAAATCTGATTAAAGATGCATACAAGATCCTACCATACTTAAAATATGATCAGACCTTACATGCAAGGATTCTCTCCTACTTTCTTAGAGATTAAAGAACATGGATCACAGATTATCATCCTTTCGAAGACATTTGCAGGTCTTTGATGAACAATCTCCCCTCTTTAATTCCCATAAATTTACAAAAAAATCGAGTAGGTGAAGAAGGATGAAAACTTTTGGATTTTTATGAAAATAGGATAGCTCAAATCATACCTTTTCTTAGAATCTTGAACAATCCTTAAGAGCAACGGAATCCTTTAAGACTTGCGAGAAGATGGAATCGGCTGGAGGGTGATTGAGTTTAAGAGAGAGGTGACAGGTTTAAGCTGAGAGTTGGAAATGAGAGTTTTCAAAGAAAGAGGGGTATTTATATGAAGACTTTTAAAGAAGAAATGGGCTGGCCTCTAAAGGCCGAAGCCCTATAAATTATTATTTTTCTAAATAATAAAACCTCACTATAATTTATTTAAACAAAACAACTTGATATAAGATTTTAAAACTCCACACTTTAATAAATTAATTGGCCAATAAAATGGGACTTTGGAAATTTTAAATTTTTAAATACAAAACTTAAAATATCAACTTTATTTTATTTGGAGCATTTCAAGACTATTTGGCATTGCACAAGTTAACTTTGTCAGTTMCCCGCCGAAACGTGATCTTCCGAACTAATCTTGGGAATTAAGCAAGATGATCTCTAATCATCATAGCTAAATCCTAGGAAGACTTAATTCTCAATAAAGATCCTTAAATAAGGTGCTAACCTGAAATTCCGAAATGACGGATTGTCACAGTCTCCCCAAGCCAGAAAAATTTCGTCCCGAAATTTATGCGTCAAAATCAGATCATGACTTGCTCGAGAATAAGTGGGGATACTTGCTTTTCATATATCTTCTCTTTCCCACGTATATTCCGGTCCATGCCTGGAGTTCCAATGAACTTTCACAATTGGAATCTTGCTGCGCCTCAACTGCTTGACTTTACTATCAAGGATTTCGACCGGCTCCTCAACGAAACGTAACCGTTCGTTGATTTGAATGTCTTCCAAGGGTAAGATCAATTTTCGTCAGCTAAACATTTCTTAAGGTTGGATACATGAAATGTATCATGGATGGCACTCAGCTCTGGGGGTAAGCTTAGTTTATATGCAACCGGTCCCACTCTTTCGAGTATAACAAATGGACCAACATACCTTGGACTAAGCTTCCCTTTCTTACCGAAGCGTACAATCCCTTTCCAC